CACCTCCACCACAAGCATCATCATCATCATCATCATCATCATCATCATCATCATCATCATCATCGCGGCCGCCGCCAAATCCAAAGGCTCCAGAGGCAGAGAGAGAGAGAGAGAAAAGCCGCCCTACCTGGATGCAACATACTTTGGAAATAGAAGATCACCAGGGCAAAGGATCCCAAGCAAGTGACCAGCACCATCCGACAGATCCGGTTCATCCTCATTACTTCCAGCAGCGCCGGCTTCATGGCTTTGTCCCGGCGAGGACGGAGAAAGAGTCGGGGGTGGGGAGGAGGGGGTGGGAGAGCAAGCGGCAGAAAGGCGGAGAGAAAGGGGGTGCCTCCCCGGGCAGGGCACGAAGCAACCCCCGCCGGCGGCTCTTTCCGAAGAGTTCCGCTGCACGGGAGCACCGGCGCCAGCGCAGCAGTAACGGTGGCGGCGGCGGCAATCAAGCTCCGAGGGAAGCTCGCTTCGCCGGCGGCAGCTGCGGCCGCCTCCTCCTCCTCCGCCTCCCTTTGCAACCGCTCTGGAGGCTACCTCGAGCAGCAGCTCGCGCGAGCTATTTCATTCGGCTGGGAGAAAGACCCAGCCTGGGAGCTACCACTCGACTCGCCGCTCACAGGGGGATAGAAGGCAGGCAGCGTCTGCGCAGAAGGCGGAAGACGAAGAGAGCCTCCGCGTCGGAACGCTGACCTCCGCCGCCGCCACGAAAAAAGTGGTGGCGTCCAGTTGTTTCCCCGGGGACTTTCCGCGGCTTCCTTCGCGGTCCTAAACTCGCCGGATTGCGACGTGCCGTTACTTGCTGCGGCACCCCGTGCGCGGGGCGGCGGAGAGGGAGCCGGCGGCGGCGGTGGCTGCTTCTGAAAGGAACAAGATCTCCGTGTTTTGTTAGCCAGCACCACGTTTCTGTTATCTGATGGAGCTTTGCTCGGCTCTTTAGTTGCAAAAGGTCTCTTAAGGACTTACAACTCGTTCTATGCGCGGGGCGGGGCGGCGGAGAGGGAGCCGGCGGCGGCGGTGGCTGCTTCTGAAAGGAACAAGATCTCCGTGTTTTGTTAGCCAGCACCACGTTTCTGTTATCTGATGGAGCTTTGCTCGGCTCTTTAGTTGCAAAAGGTCTCTTAAGGACTTACAACTCGTTCTACCCAACAAAGCTTGTTAATGTTCCTTTTAGGACTACAACACCCAGTTTCCCCCGATGAGAGGCGGCGGCGGCGGTGGCTGCTTCTGAAAGGAACAAGATCTCCGTGTTTTGTTAGCCAGCACCACGTTTCTGTTATCTGATGGAGCTTTGCTCGGCTCTTTAGTTGCAAAAGGTCTCTTAAGGACTTACAACTCGTTCTACCCAACAAAGCTTGTTAATGTTCCTTTTAGGACTACAACACCCAGTTTCCCCCGATGAGAGGCTCTCGTCAGGTTGGTTGGAGAACTGTGGGAATTATAACACCACAAATGAAGTCTTTTAGATTGTGAAAAAGACATGGCACACAAGGAACAAGGAATGGGGAGGGAGAAGGAAAAACTAACGCAGAAGGTTCTTAAAGTTCCAACTTTCATGTGCCCAGTTCAGTGCAAACCATTCAGATATCTGCTGGAATGGGTATCACTAGTTGACAATCAAGGGGAAGCCAAGGACAGGTTGTGTCTCAGCAGAGGCCATGGTCTTGCTTCTCTTCTTTCCCTCTGCTTTGTAACCTGATGGAATGGGTGCTGCTGAGTGGAGATAACCTAAGAGAATGGAAGTCAAAGTTAATGGGATGGCATATGGTTATAAAGCAGAATATATGATTTGTTTTATCCAGCCATCTCATCCTCGGTCGTCCCCTTCTCCTCTTGCCGTCACACTTTCCTAACATCAAGGTCTTTTCCAAGGATTCTTCTCTTCTCATGAGATGGCCAAAGTATTGGAGCCTTAGCTTCAGGATTTGTCCTGCCAGTGATCACTCAAGCCTGATTTCCTTTAGAATTGATAGGTTTGTTCTCCTTGCAGTCCAGGGGATTCTCAAGAGCCTCCTCCAGCACCACAATTCAAAAGCATCAGTTCTTCGGCGGTCTGCTTTCTTTATGGTCCAGCTCTCACTTCCATACAACATGAATTTGACCCAACTCCGGGAGGCAGTGGAAGACAGGAGGGCGTAGCCCGAAGAGCTTAATGACTAAACAACAATATTGAAAAAGAAGAAAGCAAGCAAACACTGCTCACTAAAGTTCACACTGACATAAACTGATTGCTCTTTAAAGTGTCACACTATTTTGCCTCCTCCCCCCCTTCCCATCCTCTTTTTTTTTCAGATTGCTTACTTAAATTGACTTTGGCTAATTTTGATCAGAAGAGCAGACACGAAGTGCTTCTATCCATTGGGAGACAAAGATGTGTCATGCATACCATTACTGAATAAAAATCTAAACTGAGACCAAAGAACTCTTACCCCTACCAATGATGTTTTAAGACACGCTTGAAACCGATTGTTGACCTCACCACTCCTGCCGTTTCCTGAGCTAGTGTTTGCAAAAGTCTCAGCGCCGATTGGTTAATCTTGGAAGCTAGACTTCAGTTCATAAGTACAGCTTCGACAAACCTGTTTCCTAAACAAGTCCCTTGTTATAGGAATGGGTATATAAACTGCACAGGATGGTGATGAAGAAGATCAGATCAGGAGAAAGCTGCTGTTGCTGCAGCTTTACACGTAATGAGCTGAAAACCTTATTTACCTCAATGGACTAACTTGTGAGCAGACATGCAAAGGGTTGCACTATGACCCATTAGTTTCCTCATCAGGGTTTCTGTTTTTATTGGTACAGATGATTGATAAATTCTTCCCTCACTAAGGGATGACACATATTGTAACAAATTAATCCTTTCCGGGTAGAATTACTTTCAAATATTTTGAGATTAGACTCTGCAGGTACAAGGGGAAACATGTTCATGGTTAGACAGGAAAGGAAACATGAACATTCTATTTCCTTAATACCACGCTATTGTGACAGATCCTTGGAAAAAATCCAGACCATTTGATGTTCAGATGCAATGAGATCCTTTGCTCCTCACCCTGTTCCACACAGTAGGTGCAATGTACTGACCTGGTGAAGTATGCATACTTCCACAGTGGGTAGTCCTGCCTTTATACTTCTGCACTATTAGAGAGCAGGCCGGGTAGGTGGGGCTCGTCAGCCATGGAAGGCAGCCCATCTAGGAGAAGGAAAACTCTGATTTCAAACCTCCACTGCCCTGTGGCTATATCCACTCATGGAAAAGGCTTCAGGAGTTAACCTAGAGCAAAATTCGGAGCTGGAGTCCCGAAGGCAGTTCGTGTTGTTCTGCCAACTCCTGCGACGTTGATGGAACCAGTTGTCTTGGCTCTTGCCTTTCCATTGGACCATTTCAGCAACGTGGAGAGGGGGGACTGCTGCTTGGGGAACAGCCTATCCTCCATATTATTTTACCCAGGCTTCAGTCTCTAGAGAGGACACTCCTCGATACAGAACATGTTACCATGGTCACTCGGGACTGAAGGATGCCTATGAGTAGTGCCTTTATAACTATGGATCAAACAGTGTTGCAGTTGAAGGTTGTAAAATGAAAGGAAGAGAGGGAGTGACATTGCTCCATCACACCCATTTGAGCAGAGGCTTGTCTATTAATATTTCCATGTGGAAAGTTCATTAGAATATGAAATCTTGTGTGAGCCCAGATGACTCAAGATGTATGCACAGATATACAGACCGGTCAGGGGCAGAGCAAATTAATTGCCAGCCTCTGACATAGTTCATTTCTTTCCTTCGATTCACACAGTATTCTTTTTGCTATTTTTTCCACTGTCATTTGCCAGTCTAGAACACCTTTTATAGTTTTACATTGGTTGGAATAAGGCTAAGTCGGAGACGGCATGGCAGCTGCTTTGAATGCTGTTGCAATTATGCCAGCTCTCTAACCTGCTTGCAATTAACTGAATTCAGTCTTACGGCAAGACGTTTCATGGCTTCATTCTTTCTTCAAGCGGAAAGGCTGTTCCAATCAAGACATATTAACCCAGAACCTCTCTTTCATTTTTCCATATTTTTCCAGCCAAAGATTGTTTTTTTCTCATCTCACAGTCCAGAACTTGATGTTATAGCCAATACAAAACTGCCGCCAGAAGCGGTAGGTGGAAGAGGTTGTCAAATGAAGCAAAATGTGTAACATGGCAGATTTCCCCAGAAACAGGAGCCAGTGAACTATCTCTCTATAAACTCAGATCCTCATATAGCAATGGAGGAAAAGGGGTGCTTAAATCAGGGAATATAGCTGGCACCCCAATTTTGAACATTCTCACCCCAAGAGGCACTTTTGCACCTCCACCAGTCATTTCAACATTAGGTAAATATATGTCTGTTCTCACAAGCCTTTTAATGATCATTTATCTATTTATGTTGGCAGATAGTTGATATTATTTTATGGTACTCATACTGAATTTTGTATGTTTTTAATTTGTACTGTTTTTTTAAAAAAACCTTTGCAACTTCCCTGAAAAGCTAGATGAAGAGCAGGTTAATAATAACAATGATAACCATAAGAACAAGATAAAAGAAAAGGAGAGTGGGAAGACAAGTGAGACACTTACGTCATATAATGCATTCTATAGGTGCTCCCAGGAAGAAGGAATGAAGAGCAGAGCTGGGCAAAGCTATATATTTAATCTGTAATTCTCAGCCATGATGGTTACATAGGTGCGCACGCACACACACACAAAATACTCCTGTCTGTGAAACCCTTACTTGTACTCTTAAAAAGTAAGTTTTCTGTGCTCTGAAGAAGTAGAGCTGACACAGATTGTTCTTGCGCACGCACACACACACACACACACAATATTCCTGTCTGTGAAAGCCTTACTTGTACTCAAAAAGTAAGTTTTCTGTGCTCTGAAGAAGTAGAGCTGACACAGATTGTTCTTTCTAGACAAAGCTATGTTTCTGACATAGTGGTTGAAATTCAATTGTAAGTTGCAACTATAGTAGGCAAAAAAGTAAGTTTTCTGTGCTCTGAAGAAGTAGAGCTGACACAGATTGTTCTTTCTAGACAAAGCTATGTTTCTGACATAGTGGTTGAAATTCAATTGTAAGTTGCAACTAGAGAAGGCACATTGAATCAGTGGAGACTTGGCGAGTCAACTCCTCTGTAAGTTCTACTGATTCAATGAGCTTACTCTAGTTGCAACTTACTGCTTGATTTCAGCCACTGTCTACTTTTGTCCTCCAAATGCAAAAGCTACCATGCATTAATTACTACATTTTTAAAAGGAGACTATTTATTATTCATACAGCACTTCCGTTGACAAACTCCTTTATAATCTTTATTATGTTCTGTCTTCCAGGAATGGGATGGAAAGACATTGTCCCCCAATGAAAGGTCATATTTCATTGAAGGTGGAAAGAGGCATTCAGAAATGCAAGTACCAAAGTCATTTTCCACTCCCAATTAGATGCAACTTTCCTCCCCATCTTTACCCCATCTGCTGAATAAAATATGGAGCTTTTCACTTTTAAGTCATACTAGGTGATATTTCAAGCAGAGGAAGAGTAATGATGAATCACATGAAGGTCCCATGAGATCATACAAACCCATATTTCTGTAATGAGTTTCAGACTCATTTCACACATTGCATCCAGCCAGAAGGATAGCAAAGCATTATTCATAAATGTAGTGAATTATATAACCAGCAAGATGGCTCTGGAAATTCTGGTTTTCAGCTGTCCTTATGAATGGAATTAAATCATCATATTGCATCATAAACAGAGCAACCCTGAGATATTTTGCTGCCTGAGAGGGAGGAG